ACCGCTGCGCCACCAGGAGAGGCCCTAGATACACAATTCTTAATGGATTCTTCACAAATCGCTATTTCTAGCTATTAATCACATTGTAATTGCAATTACTTTGATATACCTCAACAGTAGAAAATTTAAAGTATTAACTTGTTTGAGGTGATTATTGTATTCAAATTAATCATAAATAGCAGCTAAATAGTAAGTTGTATTTTATGCTTGAGATGTATTCCTATTTTTTTCCTGATCTGATAATACTTGGAACTTTTCATTTAAATGAAATAATTTAATTTTTACTTACGTCATAGTATTATTGATTAAATACAAGAGCTAAAAGAAAAACCTTTATGAATTCTATAGGCTTCTACTGACTTTTAGTAAGTTAACATATGCTTTTTTTGAAATATCCATCCAATCTTAAAGATAAAGTTTTCAGAAAACATGTTTTAATTCATTTGATTATTTTTGAATGACAATCCAAATGTTGGCTTTTTCCTGCATACATACAATCTGTTATAGTTAGAAATTTGGCAGTTACATTTTTCATAGTAGATGCTAAGTTAAAAAAGATCATTTAAATGGAAATAGATTAACTACACAATGAAGATTCTCAGTTGAAAAGGCTTGATGCCATAGGGAATAGTTCCAGAGAGGAAACAGAACTGAATAACTTACATTTTAGAGGATTCATAACAATACGCATTTCTTTGTTTCACAAACACTTGTTTTCATTTTGATTCTACATTGTCTTAATTTCTTCTTGCTCCTGTAACAAATCACCACAAACTTATTGGCTAAACACAACAGAAATTTATTCTCTTGTAGTTCTGGAGGTCAGAACTCTAAAATTGGTTCAGTAGGCTTATTACAAGGTGCTGGCAGGAATGCTCCTTCCAGAGACAGTGCCTTTTTACCTTCTAGTGACCACTGCTATTCCTTGGCTTATGTCCCCTTCCTTCATCTTCTTTTTTTTTTTCCCCCTTCCTTCATTTTCAAAGTGCACCATCACTCTAATTTCTGCAATCTCCTCAATCTCCTCTGATTCTGACTTCTGCTGCATCCCTTTTATAAGTACTGTTGTGATTACAGTGGGGCCATGTGAAAAATCCTGAGTATTTCCCCATCTCATGATTCTTAGCCATACCCATAAAGTTCCTTTATCATGTGATAAGAATAAAGGGGTCCAGAGGTTAAGATGTGGTTTTTTGGGAAGCCATTGTTCAGTCTGCTACATAAAAAATATTTTTACTACATTATTGTTGCTTGTGAATTGTATACAAATAAACTAATGAGAACAAGAATGCTACTTTTATAGACCTGCACTATACAGTTGGTACACATGGCATATATGTGTATATATTTATTTCTCTTGAAAACTTTATCATATTAAGAACATGGACTTTTATACCCCTACTCCTATTCATCCATACTCATCTATATTCAAATATATACACACAAAAAAGAGGAGGCAGAAGGAGAAATATAATAGCAGGAATGGAATCTCCAGGGTGGAGAAAACCCAATATAACTATTCTCTCTCTAGAGATGAGCTCAAAGCATTAGCCTTTTATTAAACTTATACATATATAGATGCTTAAAGATAAATTCTATGTATAGAGTCATCATAAGTACAAATATTATGTCGCAACATCTTAAACTGCTCTCATTTTTAAGACATCTAAATGATCCAAATCTGATCCAATCATTCAACAAAATTCTAACTGGGTGCCTACCATAAGCTGTCCTTGATTACAAGGATTTAAAGATAAGACTCAGTGAGGACACAAGTAGTAGTAAAAAACTTCAAGGCCATGTCCTTATACACTTCTGGTACCATTGCAATATATACAATGTACTTAGGAGGGCCCTCTTTTTTGAGATTTTAAAAACAATTTAGTTAATAAAAGTTCGACAAATGAAAACTGAAATTAACATACATCCTAGAAATTACCTAATTCCATTAATGGGAAGACCCTTTTCTATGCATATATTTGACTTAAACTCAATATACGCACACACTGTTGGTGTGTTTCTCCGGCTATCTTTAATATACTATAATAACACTGAGCATGATTATTATTATCCTCATTTCACAGTGGAGGAAACTATGGCACTGAGAGGTTAAGTACCATGGCCAGGGTCACACAGCCAGTGGGTGGGAGGACTGGATCATCCATCCAGCCCCTGTTCATAACCACATGCTAAGTGCTGCTCCCTAGCACTGACCCCAGTATGTTGGGGTCAGCCAGGAAGCTCTGGAGAGAGCCAGAGTATACAAGGGAATGATACTCTCAGCAGATGTCTGTCTTAAAAACAAGAAAACAAACATAAGTAATTTGCCCAAGGAGGGACTTAGATTTCCTAACTTAGATTTCCAGGTTTCTAGCATACAAAAATGCAAACTTTTCACTTCTCTTTCCTACTCTCTCTCCATTTTTCATTATTCAAGACCTTTCTGATTTTCTGTTTCTTCAGAGTCTCTCAGTTATGTCCCTCGAGTTGCTTTCCCCTGGGAGGTCCAGGGCTCCTAGGCCATGGCTGTGACCACAGTGCCTCATAAAATGGCTACGTTGTAGAGATCACACACCACAGGTAAAACAGCCATCTTACACAGCATAGGAAGTTAACTGGCACCACAGTCCACACAACAACATCATGTTTAGTATATCTGTTAAAATCAGTGAACTCCACACAAACAATGTGTTTCTGTTATTCATTATTTGGAAAATAACAAATAAGTCCCAGAAATCCCAACAGGCATTCGTTTCCAAATATAAATACCTATAACTACAATTTCACTCAAGGAATTAAGTATCCTTGAAAAGACACTGGATATCAAAAATCTCCCAATAATCTTTATACATGGTCTACCAGTTTACACTTCGGAGATGGGTGATTTCAAAACAGTTATTTTTCAAGCATGGTGTGCATGGGATTGGGAACCAAAAGAGTCTAGAAAACCATTGTGCTATCAAAATCTTAAGCACAGACATGTACTTGCGTCCTGTTAGTATGAATTCCAAGGGCTATAACTCTCTGGAAGTGAACTGGGAAATATGTATTAACTTCAAAACTGTGTTCCTCTTTTAACCCAGAAATTCCATTTCCAAAATTTTATCCTAAGGAAATAATCATGGATGTTCATAATGATTTAGTTACAAGGATACTGATCACAACAATGCTTAAAATAGTAACATTTTTTAATTGTAGAGAATTAAACAGGCAAATTCTGACATGGTCCTTTAATGGAATACTATTGCAGAATAATGGTCAATGCTGTGCAGACATATTCATGATATATGGATGATGTTTAAAGCAAGCTACAGAACAATACAGAGCATTTCTGTTAAATATATATTAAATATACATATATAAATATATAAATATTTATGTATTTATTAAAACTATAGATAAAAATTATTTATATATATTTATAAATATTTATAAATATAAATATATATTTTGTGGAAGACAGCCTCCAGGGGTCCCCAGTGATCCCCTAGGTGACATAAGCTCAGGACCAACCTTAGGCTGGTGACCAACAGCTTCTGGGAAGAAGTGATGACAAGATACTTTGACTGCATGTTATAAAAGGCCATGATTTCCATTTTGCTTGTGCCTTTGTATTTTTAGCTTCTTTTAAATTTTTTCTCTTGCATCACTTGCTTTAGTGGAAACATGCTACCATGCTGTGGGCAGCTCTATGGAGAAGGTAAGTACTTGACATCTTGCCAAAGTCAGTGAGGAGCTGAGGCCTCCAACAGAAGACCTGAAGTGCCCTGGCTGGTTGCAAGTGAACCTTGAGATGAATGGAATCTGAGCTTATAGCCTAGCTACAATCTTTTTAGAGACGCTGAGCCAGTAGCACTGGCTAAGTTGATTCTAGATTCCAACCCAAACGGTGGGGTAATATGTTCACTATAATTTAAAGCTAAGTTTTTGGGTAACTTGTTATGTAGCAGTAGATACGTGCACAGTGAAATAACAGAAAGGATATAATTAAAAATACTGTTAATGGTTCTCTAGGTGGAGTTATTATTCTTTCTTTCTTTTTTTTTTTAAGATTTATTTATTTATACATACAAGAGCCAGGGCACAGGCCAGAGATGCAGCAGGGTCGTGGAGGGGTGGGGGAGGTGAGAGGATTCACCAGAGACAGAGCGGGGAACAGAACAGGCAGACTAACTGAAAGACACTGCTGAGGGGAGCAGCGGGCGAGTCAGGAGAGGTCTGCCTCGCCATGTGGGTTTCTCTCTGGCTGGCTGGGGATTGAACTTGTGCTGCAGAGGCTTTGGATTGCTTCATAGTGCGGTGCTTAACCCCTTGCGCCACCAGGGAGGCCCCATTTCTTTTTTTTTTTTTTTTAAGATTTTATTTTTGTGTAGAAGAACTGGGGTGTAGGCCAGGAGTGCTGGGGATAAGAGGATTGGCCAGAGACAGAGTGGGGAGCAGAACAGGCAAATCTACTGAAATACACTGCTGAGGGGAGCAGTGGGTGAGGCAGGAGAGGTCTGCTACGCCATGTGGGTAGCTCCCTGGCTGGGATCAAACTCAGACGTAATGGCGAAAGTGCTGAGACTTAGTCCCTAAGCCACCAGGGAAGCTTCTTTCTTTCTTTTTTTTTAATACTGTTGGCAATGATTTTCCTTTTCAGAAAAAAAAAAAAAAAAAAAAAAAAGAAAATCACAAAACCAAGAGAGATCACATGACCTTCTAAAGAATAAAAGGGTAAAGATTCAGAGAGTCCTCTTGCCTTTACTACCTTTCAGAGATTCTTATCAGGTAAATTAGCTTAAAAGTGAAAACCAAAACAAAAAACGCTAAACAACCAAACTGCAGAGAGCAGGCCTGAAAGGCACAGCAGAGTAAGTTTTACCCACTAGGAACCATGTGATACACAGTGAGCAGCAGCACCCAGAAGCTTCATGGAATGGAGACTGGCCCAGATCTAAACCGAAAAGCAAATAGTAATGAAGTCGTGCTCAAGCATGCAGCACAGGTGTCTTGCTTACCCAGCTTCTGGTCGAACCGCCAGGCTGCGACGTAGGCATTGTGCCTTAGACCGCTCTGCGTGGCCAGGGGCACAGTGACGTACATGGGGCCATCCACCAGCACTGGCGTTCCATCGCTGCTGAGCAAGTGGACGCTGACAGCGGTCACCGGCGTCAGGTCATACCTGGTGCCATTTCCTGGAAGCAAAAAGCATCTTCTAGCACACGATTACACAAGACCCCCATGAGGCTGCTGTGGAATCCATTTGCAAGAAAAGAGTAACAGGTACCATTTCCTGGGCACTGTGCTACCTATCTGCAAAAATTCCTAGTTCAGGGACTGTTATAGCCCCTTTACATACATAACACTTACCATCTTATAAAGTAGGTTAAAAATCTCCACAAAACATCCAGAGGCTCAGAGAAGGTGGTAATAGGATCTGCCTAAGGGTGTTTTGTGGTAAGCCTGGGATGTGGGCTCAGATCTGCCTCAAAAGGGAAGGACATGTCTATAAATGTGAGGAAGGTGTAAGCAGATATTGTTGAAAAGGGCCCCTATACAAAGAGTACCCTGTGCACTTGTTAATGATTTGGCAGATCACCATAATGAAACTGAATGTCTAAAATTAGAGATCACTTAAAGAAAAGTTCTTCAAGGAGTGCTTCAAACTATTCATCTACTAAAAGTAAACGATTAAAAACTTGCACTTGAAATATTTATGAGTTATTTTAGTTGCCACTGGTATTTTGATCTGTTTAAAAGGAATTTAATATACCAATTATTCTGCATTAGAGACCTTTTATCCAAGTCAATGCTCTAATGACTGTCTACAGATATATTAGGGAATGCTTGTGAGAGCAATATTGTATTTATATATTTAAGCGATCCATTTTAGAAAAATTTCTCTTCAGTGAAATATAAGACAAAATATATTCTATCATGATTTTAAATCTTTCCCGAGACACAAGGATGAAAATACAATGATAAAAATTTTCAGCTGCTTTAGAACACAGTCTATAGAACTTTTTAATCGACTTACATACATACCTACTCATTTAACTACCTAAGCTAATGTGAACCTTCAATTAGGACAAAATGAAATATTTGAAGCAAATCTAGAGAATTTGAATTTCAACTATAGTTAAGTCCTTCACAGAACAATGTCCACACAGCTAATGACAGTGAGAGCTTTAATAACTTGTACCCATCTTTGTTTCTCAATGAAGGGAAAGGTATGGCAAAGGAGATTTCACCCAAAGATTCAAGTCTTGAAATTTTAGTGTGGTAACTTCAGTTTATGGTTAAAAAAAACCCAACAACCCATACTTACTATATTTCTGGTGAAATTAACTTTGAATTGAGACCTAAGTGTGCCAATTGCCCAAAGATGACATATAAGCAAAGCCACAGTGCACCATCCAGGTTCTGGTAAGACTCTCTCAATGCAACAGAGCTTAAAGCTAGAGAGATTAAGTAACTTTCCAGACTTTGTATAAACAACCGAGAGATAATGTTTTCAATTAGGTGCTGCTGTTACTTTCAATAAACCTGGGGCAGGATGTCTCTCTGAACAGAGAACCAACAAGTAAGAGTAGAAAAGCACTTGAGACTTATCATCCATCTTTTTTTCCACTACACTTAGTCTGCTGATTCCCAGAAATGGCACACCCCCTCCATCCCCCACTCATTACCTTCCAATTCTCACACCCCATCATCGTGTATGTTCCTGGCCCGGCGAAAGAGGGTTCCAGTTTTGGACCTGCCATTAACAGTTTATGTGGCCTCCAGTAAGTTACTTACCCCCTCTGGGGTTTTTCTTATCTGTACATCTAAGGAAGTTGGATTGGATGCTTTCCTCTGGTGTATGGAGGTGAAAATACTTAGGTGTAAACATTCAGAAGTGTGTGTAACATAGCAGAAGCACTGTGCTTTTGGTTGGTGGGATTTAGTGTTCTTGCAAAAGATCTCTAACTGGTTGAAGACACTGCAGGCAATCATATCTGCTTTCTTGAGGCCTCTTTGCTGTCACTGTGTACCACTAAATTCTTGCTCTTGCTCTGCGTCTTCCCTAGGACTCTCCTTCAGCCCTCCAACTCTCTTCATTCTGGAATAATGAATACTTTGAAGGGCTAAATTGCTTCCTTCCAGTCTTTGTTATGAGATCACAACTCTACACAAACCCTAAGTTCTCTATGTAAAACGGCTTTCCATCCTGTTCTACCTTGATGCCACCTGCCTTCCCATTATGTCTGAAGAAAGATAGGAGTAAGGCAAAGGCACCAACAAGGAAGGGGCAGCACCCCAGACCACGTCAGGAGGCCAGCTATGTCACTGGGGCCTCTGATACTTCTCTTGGAACATGAGAGCAAGTTCAGATAACATCTAGAGTTCTGTTTGACTCTGCATCCTATTACCAATTTTTCCCAACTGCAGGAAAATTTCATGTTATTCATTTTATTGGTTGTTCCCTCTCTTTCTGGAGTTACTAGATGAAGTAATTGCTTGACTCTCCCTTGGGAGTGCCACAGAATGTTTCTGTGCTTTCTTAGCAACGGGTGGGGCGTTGTTATGGTGCAGGGACTCTGGCTTGTGTATGCAAGTCTTGGAAAAAATGGAGCAGATAGACAAACCAAGCAAGAGAGGAAGTAGTCAAAATCCTACATGGCTATGTTTCTGGATGGATTTTTCTAGAAGCGCCCTCTAATGGGATACAACCCTTCTTAGGATACTCTGAGGAAATCTGCCTTCAGCGCACTTTCCAATCACCTCTGTGCTTCCATTCACCGTAGCTGAACTCTAGTTTTGACCTGTCAACTCACACACAGGGATGCCTATGTGTGACTCTTATGCTAAGCTGAAATCTCTTTGGTGCTTTTTATAAGACAGGAGGCAAATAGCTGTGGGGCAGAAGGGAAGCTGTGCAAAAAGTGGGACTAGATATGGTACTTACCCTGTGGGCTGCTGGGTGCTAAACATAGCCCCGTGGGTGTGTGAGGGTACCCCTGGGTAGCAGCCTTTCCTGGAGGACTCAAAAAAAGTCCTGGTTCTTTCTCGTTTTACTTGCTGGTTATTTCACAGGAAAAGGAGTTCAATATAACCTGCCAAGAATTCGCCTCCTTCCTCTGAAATAACAGAGTGATTTTAAAATAAAACAAACTCTTCTAAAAATCAATAGTCCTAATATCTCCGTGTTCTTCCTCCTTCTGGCATCTTGAATTTCATAATTTATTCAAGAGCACTTGGAAGTGGGACACAGAAAAATTAATGAGCTCTGAGGAATGAGGTGGTCACTTCAACGTAAGGCTTTATGATAGTGCCACAGCTTGTCTGGGCGACTGGTCTCAGATTATACTTGGTCGAGTTCCCTGAACTAGTGCTTTCCTTCCAAGCCTGAACATTTAAAGTAAAAGTCAACTTTTTCCCCCACTATCTGACTTTTGATGACAAGCACTCCCCTATCTGATGGTCAGTTACTGACATATGAATCACATGACCATCATCAAGCAAAAATAATGGGAAGGAGAAATATTTCTGAATGCAGATACAATAAAGGAAAGTAAAGCAAATGATAAATTGCCAGGTTACCTTGATCTATAACCAGAAGTGTATTAATATTCTGCAAAATAGATCAGATGTTTCAAGCTTATGTAAAACTCTGGATAATTAAGTGAAATTCAATAAAAGCATCCCTGAGAAATGTAAAACTTTTTCACTTAGGAGATTTAAATCAGAACTTCTGGTTTTGTGCTGTGACTAGTCTAAAGAAAAGAGGCAGGACAAGAAAACAATTCAAGACTTCAGCATATGCCATTCTCCATCAACAGGAGGGGGACCTGGGATCAAGTGCACCCCCAGTGCCCTGCGCTGCCTCCTTGGATGTGAGCAGGGTCGGAAGCACACATCCCCAGTGTTTTTTTCTGGAAAGGAATTATTGTATATTTCCTGACTGGCGCCTTTGAGTTTCTCTGATTGTTTAGCTCTACATGTCATGTGAGAGTGGGGCCATAAGATCAGAGCTGACTTAGAGGTCTGCGGGAGAGGAAGCAAAGTCAGCTTCAAAGTCTGACCGCTCTGCAGGGCCAAAGGCAGGGGCAAGGGAAGCCGTGAGAGAAGGCTGGACGGACTCAGGTGGTAGGCAGCAGAGGTCCCCCACTCCTAAATGTTCCACATACTGGCGGAGAGCCCCGGTTACTGCATCTCCCACCTCCCAAGCAGACCCAGCGCCCCCCCCCCCACCTTCCTTTCCTCTGTGACAAAAGTCCTCTGTTAGGACAGCGAGGCAGGCTGTTTCACTGAACACACGTTCTAGGGGCAAGTGGAAGGCGGCCAGGACAGGGGGCTAGAAAACATCTAACTCTCATCTTACACTTAAAACAATACAATTTCAGTCAAAAGAGCTTCTCTGAATTAAATATATGTAGTTTACCAACAGAGCTTGAAGAAAGTGCTCAAGGAGCAGCTACCAGCAGAAAGGCTCACGGAGACGAATTCAACTTCCTTAAATAACACAGTTCCAATGCACTTGAACTTGTAGAAAATACTCCTCTTTGGCAACCGTGGTTCTCCCATTATTACTACTGCTTCCAGCCACATATAAAGATAAAATACAGACGTGCCGCTGAAAAGAGAAGAGACTCAATTACCTGTTCCATTTCCATCTAATCCTCGCAAATAAGGAAAGCTGTCCACCTCGGAGGGAGAGCTGGCTGCCGTGAGAAAAGCGGTCAGGTCACTGTAGCTGGTGTTCTCCGGCAAGCGCAGGGCCCTCCTCTGGAAATGAACTCGAGGCTGCGGCCGGGCACCTGCAGACATCAACCTCTGAGTTACTTCCCCAAGGAGCAGTTTCTGTTTTTAGAAAATGCAAAACCAGGAAGTGCTTCTCTAAGGTTCCAGCATGTCTCTCCCCTCCACCCCTCACCTCCTCCCTACCCCCAGCCACACAGGACACAAAGATGTGACAACATGCTATTATGGGGACAGAAATAATAGTCCATTGTCACATTTGTTTTGACACAGGATGTTATTTAGGCTTTTAACAAAAAGCCTTCCAAGTTCTATTTGTGAGCAGGCTTTCTGCTGCAGGGTTGTGCCTATGGATGGTTTTACCCCATGGATGGGGTAACATTTTGGGAAAGAAGTCCAAGGTAATGAAGGGTGTTGGTTTCCCACACAAATAAGGCAGGAGATACCCTTTGATAGTGTTACAAATACATCCTTCATTTCCCTGGGAAACTATGGCTTAACTCCACACGCCAAGCTGAGGAGGAGCCAGAGGATTCAGTAGCCAGCCTGGCCAAGAACTGCCACGTGCCCGCAGTGGTGGGCCCCCTTTTCGCAGTGGGAGCTGTCACTTGGAAGTTGGTCTCTTCTAAGGGGGGGTTCTATTCGAGGCAGACTTTTGTGGTGAGACTTTTGTGGTGAGACACTTTAAATGATAGGAAATGCTCCCTTCATCAAACTCGATTCCTTTGTGCAGAAGGACGTGTGGAGCCCACAGGCCCTATTGAATTAGCTGGCAACTTGGCCAGTTTCACTCTGTTCCAGATGTTGTTTTGATACCCCAATCTGTTTTAATCTAGCGCTCTAGTTCCAGTGGCAAGAGGTGAAAATGCTAAGTTCTTTTGCGCAAAAACACCATGACATTAACTAGTAGAAACGGAAGTAAAAGCATTTACCAATGAAAATATACATTTCTCCAGATTAAAATAAAGTGGCCCCTCCACAGCGATGGTGTGCCTGGAAGTTCTGGTCATCCCTCATTCATCCAACCCCAGGCTTGAAGGAGACCATATTTCTGCTATGGTTGGCTGGGGGTGCCTTCTCACCAGACCATGACTGTCCTGGTGCAACTGCCCAGCCCACACTTGATGGTCCCTATACGGACTCTGGGTCCCTTTTAATCAGGATCAGAAACTTAATCAAGGCATGAAGAAGCCTGTCTGGACGTATTCTAGAAGAAGAGAGTCAGAGCTCACAGAATCAACTTGCCCACTTTCTCTTCTTAGAGCTGACGCACGGAAGCCCTATGGACCGACCACCAATGCAGAATTAACTCTGGGGCAGGGGTAGGCTGGGTTGACCACATAGGACCGATGTGATCAGTCCTCTGAAAATCACAGATTAATTTTCTCAAGTGGCTGGTTCTCTGCTTCATGAAACACAGGTCCATCTTCAGGGTCTTGGGAACCAGGTGACCAAGGTCAGGACAATCCTATGGGACTAGGGTCACCTCCACTGAAACTAGCTGGACAAGGGCTTGTTCCAGACCATCCGGGCCCTTCTCTATGCCTACAGCAAACCTGCTGTGAGGCACTCGTCTCAGCTCTGTAGCTTATAACTCTCAACTCTTTATGGTCTGGTTGATTTTACACAGCAGTTTAGAGAGGATACAAGATACAAGTCTTATTTGAATCTCCCTCGACTGCAGAGAGTTCCAACACTGCACGCTCCTTGGGGCTCTCCACACTTCTAGGAGCAGTTTGCTTCTCCCTGCTCCCTTTCTTCCCCGGCCCGTACATGCTGTTTGCCTCTTCTGTTCTTCTCTGCAGTGCTCTCAGAGATGGAAAGTCAAAGTTAACATGCCCTCATTCCCAAATACACAACAACATTCATTGCTTCTATTTTTTTTTAATGATTGTGAACTTTCTGGGACTATTTCCCTTTCTCCTTTATTCTTCAGTCTAAACAATGCTGCTGATGCTTGGGTTTCAGAGAGCAGGGAAACAAAGGACTTTCTAATTTGAGGAAAAGCGTGATATGGGGAGGGAGATGGTGGTGGGCAAATGGGGGTTGTTTCTATGGGGGTGGGTGGAAACTAGATGCTTGTTGGTGATTGTGATGTCACATATACAGACATCAGGTTATAACACTGCATACCTGAAACATGTTATAAACTCATGTTACTTCAATAAAAATGTTTTAAAAAATGAAGCCGGGCCTCCCCAGTGGTGCAGGCAGTTGAGCACAGCACTGTGAAGCTGTCTGCAGCCTCTGCAGTGCGGGTTCAATCCCCGGTCGGCCACAGAGATACCCACACGGCGCGGCAGACCTCTCCTGTCTCGCCCGCTGCTCCCCTCAGCAGTGTTTTCAGTCCATCTGCCTGTTCTGCTCCCCGCTCTGTCTCTGGTGAATTCTCTCCCCCTCCCGCGCCTCTGGCCTGTACTCCGGTTCTTGTATAAATAAATAAATCTTTTAAAAAAATGAAGTCAAGTGGGAAAAAGTGGTGCGTATCTACAGTGTGACAGGGCAAAGGGCGGGGGGGCTTGTCCTCACAAGGGTCAAGGCAGAAAACACAATCCAGGCTGGTATGAGAACAAGGGAGAGTGTGTGCCCTTCTATGCCTCAGAAATAGCCCCTGTGAGATCTCTGAGAAGGCTCCTTTAGCTAGAAGGAACAGAAATCCACTCAAACTAGACCAAGGAAAAACGACTATTGCTGAAAGATGAGGGGAGAATGAATCATACTGAACTCCAGGTCAGCAGCCCAGGCCTTAAGGAGACTGGTCTGGGAACCCAGAAACTCCAAGCCAAGGCTGCTCCCTACCTCTCAGAGACCACGACTCTCTCTCATGCCCACTCTTATTTTCTGGCACGTCATGCATTTCAGTGGGCATTGCATCTCCCTCCTCCAGGCCCTTGCTCTACCCCTTCTTCCCCCAGGCCCCTTCCTTTTTTTTGTGCAGGAGAACTTGTTCCCTGACCAGACATCTGGGGCTGGGGCCACAGAGGGACAACGCAGGCCATTAGAGCTGGATGTGAGACTTCCTGCTGACTGGACACACGCTGTGCCTGGCATGACATGGACACCTCTCCTGCTGAGGGACCAGACATCCTTTCCACCATGGAGCAAAGGCAAGGTCACTGGTGACTCATGTGACCACAGAAACACCTGAGATATTTAAGGGTAGGAGCTACTCCAAGTGACAATGTCAACAGAATCGAAAGTATGTGTGGGGGGCGGGGGTGGGGCAGGTTGGGGAGTGGTTCTGTTCTTAAGCCAATCTTTATGTATGAAAGCTGCTAAATTTCCATGTTTCAGAAAGGGATATGACTGTTAGGGATGGGAGGATGGAGAGTTGGCAGGTCTGTCAGTCTTCTCTGGATGCCTCTCTCCCACTTTCCCCAGAGCAGCTGTTTCAAACTTCCTCTGTTCTTTTCAGACTTAGGTTTCTACCACCGTCCCCCAAAGGTTCAGACCCTACTTTACTGGAAATACTGGGGCCACAACTTCTTCTCTCCGAACTTTAAAATGTCTTTCTTCCTCTCCTTAATGTCTCTTCTGTCCTTGCTTTCCTCCCTCCAGGGTGAACTCAACTATCCCAAGTTTTGTGTCTTTTACTGTAAGATTTGACCCTACCAACTAGTCTTGCCTTTGTCAATAATCTTTCTCTGCAGCTTCCCGCCCCAAGCAATACATAGGCCCATTTCTTCCTCTCTAGAAAGATAAAATAGGACTTTAACTTTGCTATGCCTATATAGAAATGCCTTCTCTCCTTCTACCCACCCCCAGTGATGTGGCTTTTTCTTCACAACACAGGCTGCCCTTGGAAATGTCAACTGATGGCTGTGCAATCTGCCAGCCCCATACCATTTCTCAGCCTTCATCTTTGGAGACCTCCTCACAATGGTCAACTCTGTTCACCAGCTCCCAATGCCCAGAAGCCCCTCCTTCTGGGCATTCATGCTGTGGCATTCTGCTCTCCCCAGGGTCAGCCTGCTTTTCCCTCTGCCAGTACTCACCCGGACCTCACTCCTCCTGATCAAACACTTCTCAACGCGGTTGTCTCTACTCTTCTGACTCTATCCCTATGGATTCCCTTCCACAGCCACAACCTCAGCTCTTACCTTCCTCTCCAACCTGGAGCCTGTCCAAGCCCCAGGCTGCATTTCCCTCTGCCTTCTAGATAGTTCTAGCTGGATGCCCACCAGGTACACTAAAACCACCTTCTTTCCCATTTAACAGCACCCCCTCCTCTCCACACCCAGGTCTCATTCCAGGTCTTCATCATTATTTCCCCCTTTGCACTACTTCACATGTTCACTCATGGGCAAGCGGCTTCTCTTATCAGCACTTCTAAGCATCATCTTTTCCTTTTTTCCTGCCCCTACTTTATGCTACTCTTCATAACCCCTTGCCTTAACTATTGCAAAAGCCTTCTGAAAGTTCCCTCTACTTTTGGATGACCCCTTTTTTTATTTCATCTGTTTATACACAGGCTGTTTTAAATTCTATGCTGATTATATCCTGCTTCTGTCCAGAAACCTACGGATCTCCACACTTGACCATGGTGGTGACAATCAGAAACCAATGCAGACCCAAGCCACTACTGCACTGTACTGCAGGTGTGGTTCAGTGCGCTACGATCCACAAAGCTCTCATGTAAGTATGATTTCACGTACTATTCACAACAGGCCTGTGAAGAAGGAACTCTCTCCTCTCCTTATTTGGTGGTGGGGGTGGAGTGGAGAATTAAAGCCCAGAGAGGTTAACTGACTTGCTGAAAATCACTATTTGTAAAAGGAAGAAATGAAGTCATTTATCTAACCTCTGAACCCCTTTTTAGTACAGTCTACCTCAAAACTGATGTTCGACTTACTGCCATTGAGGAGCGGATGGAGAGCACTGATATGGGTGGTGCCAGTTGGCCTGATGGCAGTGAAGCCACCAGCTGTCACGGGCATCTTTCTTCTACCTGTGTATTTACCATCATCATATTCTGAGTCCACAAGTGCTCTGTTTTTCTTGAGACAGTGTGGCCTGCAAGATGCTCTGGAGCCAGAACTGCAGGCTGGCCACCATTGTT